CCAAAATAGAGTAAACTGTTAGAATTAGTAAGTTTAGAAAATCTGCAAATATAATAATAAATATATCCATAATGAACAATGAGAAAATGAAGTGTCCAACACGGTTCCACTTATAGCAGTATCGGTACTAGTTATGGTTTAATATCGATAGCATATATGTAATTATACACAAATTAATATATAATTAAAATTACATATGTATAATTACATATAAAATGCTCTATGTTATATATAAATATTTATATACGTAGGAGTTCAAAATCGTCTGTCCAGACAAAATTAAATTCGTTTTTTCCCTCCTGCTCATGTATCTTATGTTAATCTGATTATTAGACTAACGACCCGAGACGGGTGGAAGGAGGGCGCTTCCTCCCCAGCGGTGGAAGCGTCTGTGACGCGCCACCTGTCCCGTGTCCAGCCTGACGTTGCAGGGCGGTGAGCACGAACGGCCGCCTCTGGAAACAGTTCGCTGGGTATTCACGCAGAAATAAGCGAGTATGTTCACGAACACACGCACGAACACGGCAGTTCCACGTGCACCAAACGTACAGGTGCGCGGCCGAACAAGAAAAGCCCCCGAGGCAGACGCGCAGAACCTCCTCCGGGCGCCGCTTTCTTGGCCAGGACAGACAGGCCCGGGCCTAGGGCGTGCCGAGCTCCCGGGGCCGATGGCCCACGCGCTCCTGTCCTCCTGTCCTCCTGTCCTCCTGTCCTCCCACCGCCCAGGCCGCCCCACAGGCGCGCGCCCAGCGCAGTGGCGCCTCAGTCCCCCGAGCCAGGATGCTCGCAGGGGCGGGGCGCTGCGCATGGGATGCTCTCATGGGCGGGGCGCAGGTCCGCCCAGCTCATCCGCAGCGACAATGGCAGAGCGAGGGGACTTTGCAGGACGCCCAGGCCTTCCACTCCCCGGTGGTCACCGCCCTTTACGCGCCGCCGCAGGCCACGTTTTGCGCGTTTCACTACGCGGATGCATTTGATCCTCACATCAGCGCTCGAGGGGCGTCCTTTTATGATTATTTATCTCCATTTTACAGACAAAGGAACAGCGCCCAAATTCCCGCAGCTCGTATGTGGCGACGAGGGTTCTGACACGGAAGCCTGAGTCCGGAGCCTGCGCGCTCGCCCCGCATCTTGCACAGACGTCTGACAAAAACATCCATTTCTGTTTTCGTTTCAATTCAAATAAATTAGGAATCGTGGCATCTAAGGATTTTTTTTGAGGATTAAGATTCTAATGTTTTGCCACCTATTTTAGACTGTTTCCAACCTCTTAAAATTAGGATCTAGAGTTCCCGAAAGAATTTCTCCAAACCACCTCATCATAACACTGTATCTCTTTTTAAAATTCCTGTAGCACTTGAGGTCATGCGTTACAATGCGCTTCACCTTGCATCTGCCATCTCCATTTGCACGTTATTTTATGTCTACATATTTTACTCCAGATTAGAGTATTTTCCAAGGGCAGTCACCTATTTTATCATATTGTATCATTTTACTTTCTATTTTATTTTAGTTTGATTTAGATAGGGCTTTGTGTTTCGATGCCCCTTTAGAGCTTACCATGTTTTCGCAAGCATCTAACACGATCCCACACATACCGTTAAAAGAACAAATGTTCCTATTAGTACAGTATTCTAAAGCCAGTTCACAAGTGACTTTCGGACGTTTTATTAGCAGGATTACAGGATAACCTGAGGTCCTGCATTCTGTCTGGTATTACGTCCCGCTTTGTTTTAAGGGGCTTAGTAAGCACATTAGAACTGATGAGAGCCTTCCACGTGATGCCCAGACACTCTCAGCGAAGAAATGGCTCACGGACGTATCTGCCAGCACTGCTGTCACTAATTTAGGTTCAGCCATTGAGTCCAATAACCAATTTCAGAGGCATAAGGAAATCCCCCAGGCTCTCTCTCCTATGCGAGGCCATGTCTCCACCCTTCGTCCTGTAACTCACTCTATCATGGAGGTTTGCCAGTTAGCATTTGTTTCCAGCATATGAAGTAGCTCTTTTTAATTACTGAAAACCTGACCCGTGTATTGGGCTCTGCAGCCCACGGTGTGTGGTTTTTAAAGCTTACTTTCTGGGAACAGTGGAGGATGGGGATGGAGACCCACCCCTCCGACAACGCCCAGACGGGGTACGCAAGCGAGGGACAGGAGAATTAAGGGTCCTGTACAGGGACTTTGAAAAATGTCAGAAGGAAGTTCCAAACCTTTTGTCCCCGTGAAAACACGGTCTCTTTAACATTCAATACATCTTAGGATCTCCTTAGCTGTCAATGAGATTAACAAAACCCATTACCCAGCTTTCACAAAGGACACTGGAAAGGTCATTTTTAAAATGTACCGAGTGTACATTGAATGTCTTTGAGAAGTTTGATAGTGGAAAATAATGTACAAATAAAAACGTTCTTACTAAAATCTACCGTTTTACGATGGCGACACACTTCTGCCGACCATAGAAAAGAGCAAATAAAAATGGCTCATCCCGAAACCACATCATTAGCCATTCTTTACACCCCCACAGGCATACCACTTAAGATCCTTCGCGGCCTTGTGAATAGATTTTGAAAACAAACGTAACGGTCATCTAAATACAACACTTTGCAACTGAAAACCACATTGAATGTCTATATAATATAAAATCTGTTGGAAATTGGTTGTTTAAAACATAGGGATGTGTTGGACATCTCCTTAGTGGAAAAAGAAAGCTGGAATGGTGAATAGTTTCAAAGGAAGAAAAATTCAAATATTTACTAATTCGAAATTCACATCCTCGTTACAGCTAAGGTTGAAATTAGCTGAAGGATGAATTTATAATTTACGGCTTGGGAACTGACAGCTTTCTCAAACTACTGCTCTTTACTCCCTGCAGTGCTCTCTGGATGTTTCCCACCAGATTTTCTGACTTAGAAGCCCCCAAAAGATTTGTGCACTTCTCAAGGGTTTTCTGAGACGGACGGCGCTGTCCACAGTCCCCGGTGCTGACCACTGCGGCCGGGCTCTGTGTCAGCGTGTCCTTCCTGGATGTGCAGACACAGTTCATCGCACTCGTACCTGAAGCCGTGCACAGGAGAAGAACACGCACTGGAACGGTACGGAGACGGACGCATGGGATGGGAGAACTAATGTGTTTGTGGAAGAAACACCAGCCAGGGACTCCGGGATCCTTCCTCATCTGCTTGAACAAGCGTTTAGTGGCATTGCGGGAGAATCTCAGCCTGAACGTCATCCTGAGTGTCTGCGCAGTCTCAGAACATGGTTCTTCCCCTAACACGTTTGCAAGGCTTTCTTTTCCTTCCTAATGTCTAGTGGCGATCTGAAACATCCGATCGGAAGGATTCAATGAAAAAAAAAATCCCATCTCTGAAAGGCATTATAGTAAAGATGTGGAGGGAAAAGGACTTAAAAGAAAACAGTTTGATTCTCTGTTTAAAATCAGCACACGCAAAAAACATGCTAACTGCACAGACAGATCAATTCGTTTCTGGTGTTTGTGTTTTTAAAGATTCAACGACCTAGAGATACAAGTCATAAAATACAGCTATAAATACATTTTGGTCAGTGCTCTGAAATGCATATACTGCGTTTTGTTTTGTGGACAACTGGAAGAGATCTATGCCTATTAAAAGTTACGAGTTATTGTCAAAATAATGCAAAGCACTGTTTTCATATACTTTATCTTGATTAAAACTGTTATAACATTTCTGAATTAAGTTTATTTTGTCATGATTACTCTAAAGTAGCGGTCCTTACCCAGTGGTGACTCTGTCCCTCAGAGGACACTTGGTGACATCTGGACACAGTCCGGCTGTCACTACTGGGAGGTGGAGCTATTGCCATCCAGTAAGTAGAAGTCAGGGGTGCTGCTCGACACCCTATGATGCACAGGACCGGCCCCCAAAAAGATTTGTGCACTTCTCAAGGGTTTTCTGAGACGGACGGCGCTGTCCACAGTCCCCGGTGCTGACCACTGCGGCCGGGCTCTGTGTCAGCGTGTCCTTCCTGGATGTGCAGACACAGTTCATCGCACTCGTACCTGAAGCCGTGCCCAGGAGAAGAACACGCACCGGAACGGTACGGAGATGGACGCATGGGATGGGAGAACTAACGTGTTTGTGGAAGAAACACCAGCCAGGGACGCCGAGATCCTTCCTCGTTTGCTGCTCAACACCCTACGATGCACAGGACCAGCCCCCAAAGCAAAGGCCCATGATTTCAACACTGCCACGGTCAGGAAATTGCTCTAATGACACGTATTGTTAGATGCAAGTCACCAGAAATCGCAGAATACGGGCACCATGTTACTTAGCGACGGATAATCATACAACCACCACAAGATAAATACAAAACATTTGGCAGAGAGCTTGTGACAGATCCACTCAAGGCTGGTACTCCTGCTCACAGGGCTGCTGGTGGGGAGGGCACCAGCCACACCTATACCCAGGTGAGGTCAGGCTGGTGAGCAGGCAGCGCGGCATCGTGGCATCGCCTCCAGGCTTGACCCGCATTGGAGCTTTACCTGCCCTCTCCTCCCGACTGGCTGACCCCTTTCCAGGTCCCTGGCGGCCGCCCACTGTGAGATGTCAGAACTTATGCAGCAAGAGGAGAATGGAGCGTCTAATCCTCGGGCACGGATACTTTTTTATCCGAGGGAGAAATACATTTATATTGTATTAACTATTGAAACGTCAGGGTTTATCGGAGACTGAGGACAGCCTGCTTTAAGTGACACAGTATCAGAAAGACCGAGTAAGTGGACACGTCCGCTCTAAGTACAAATGCGATAGATAATAAGGGTCACGCCTTCGAGTTTGCCCACGGTCATTGGGTTTAGCCTGACGTCAGGGCATAATTACCGGCATCCCTTATATAATACTTGTGTGGTACAAGGCAAGTTAACTTCCGAGCTTCAGGCATAAACACTTGCATTACCTACCCCTGGGCACTGTGAAAATCAAAGAGGAGAATCTGCGAAGAGCTGTGACAATGACGAGGACTATGCGAATGTCTTACCACTAATAGCGAGACTGTGAACGGGTGCCATTTTAGGGAATGCAGAGGAGGTTTTCCACGACGAAATCTTTCTTTAAACCAATATATCACTTACTATAACCTCTGAATAATATATATGTGTATGAAATATATTTGATGCTTATTAAAGACAAGATTATATTTAGAAAAAGCATCGTTTCTGTTCTTCCGTGTGCACACATCAGGTTGGTTTTTCTCCCGCTAATCTGCTCTTATGTCAATCTTATCATTCGGTCCAGCTACGAGGACTCGAGAGAGGCAGAGAGGGGAAGATCCCCCTTATTGAAAAGAGCAAGAGTGGTTTTTATCGATAACGTATTTGTTAGTGTTGGGTTCCTCCTACTATACTGATAACTGATTTCTTAACTTCACACATTGTGTTTTTTTGCAAGCGGCATAGGAGTGAAATAATCTAAAAATAAAGATATTACAAATGATTGCTTATAGCACACGTGTAATCGAGCCGGCAGAATCTAGACTTAGTCTCCAACTTCTGCTTGAGATTTTGGTACAAAAGGATATTTAATGTGTGCACTCTCATATAAAAATTGTCAGTGTTAAACATTAAAAATGTTTGTTTGACCTTTCATATAATGTATTTAAGAAAAGTTCGATGACTAAATTTAGATTAAAAAGTACAATAAATCTTTGTAATATTGACCAAACTTCGAATCCAAATTCGATGAACTATTAAGAAGAGGATACATTAGTAGTTCACCTTTTTAAATTTAAATTTTATTAAGTAATCAAATAGAGGTAAAGGCTTTTAAGGGAGCTTCGCATTATAGAGATTTGAGTGCAGCCCACAAGGAGTTGGAAACAAATGATTAGCAAAGACCTGTCCTGTGAGCAGAGGGAACAGAAGCCCCAGACCTCTCGGCAGGAACCAGCTTAGCAGGTTTGAGCGGTAGGGAGTTTGCCAGCATGACCGGCATTGTCCAGAACGGGGAGAGGAAGAGCAGATGGCGGTGAGCGTGGGGTACCGGGGACACTTCGGGGGTGGCACAGGACGTGGGTCTCACTCCGGGCGAGGGGTGAGGCCACCGGAGCTTGAGGAGCAGATCGATGGCATCACTACATTTACATTTCTAAGGGGACACTGTGGCAGGAGGGAAGAGGCAGACAGCGCAGGGCTATTTCGTCAGCCCACCTGAGCTATAACGGTGACCTGCGTGACATGACTCTCGGTAGAGATTTAAAAGATGACTGGGCTTCAGCAAGAAGTGTGGTGATGTGGTGATGGCTTATGCCTGGAGGGGGTGTCGGGGAGAGGAATTGCGGGTGGTCCCGAGGTTTTTGTTTGCAAAACTGGGTAAACGGGGGTTGCACTTATTGTGACAGCTGGGACGAGGGTCCCGGAGCAGGCAGGGCTGCAGGAAGTCAAGAGTGTTGCTCTGGGCACATGAAGCCAAGGTGTCTGTAGCTATGCAAGAGAAGATGTCGGAATGTCAGTCCGATAAAAGAATCTGGGCCTGCATCAGCGGATCAAGGCCGTATTAATTACATTTTTTCCTCAGGCAGAAAAATAGATGCATTTTTTGTTTTTCTCTATATACTAATTACAAAATATTTCCTCCTAAATATTTTCATTTTGTTTCAGACTACATTCTCTTTTCCTTGAAAAAAAAACACTATTTTTCCTTGGACGTTAGACATATTTGTGATTATTGCACATGATCGGACGGGTATGAGGTACGAGATTCCTCACTAGATGATAAAGAGTGGGTTACATTCCTTTTCCAGTTCTCAAAATTTACTTCTTTTTCCTACTTTTCTATCTTTTCTCCTGAAAAAGTAAAAATGAAATGAGAGCAAATGTCATAAGTAAGTGGACGAAAAAGTGGCTCTGTAACAGGTCTGGCCAGTCCAGGGACTGACGGTCACATTGCAGGGTGACCTGATCCCGACTCTGTGCGTCATGCTGGGGGTCGGCCCCAGGCCTGGGACTTCTTCAGCAAGAGGGCCGAGGCGGCCGCCACCGCCCACCGCACCGGGCACCCAGTTCACATGCCTCTGCGATGCCAGACGCAGCCCTTTGTCCCAGGCCCCTCGAAGGCACGATCGCCCTCGGGGGAGCACGTACCCCGCGTCTCATTTTCTCCCACCTCCACGTCACCTTCCCAACGTCCCCTCCCTAATTTCAAACATAGAAGAAACTGCTAAACTGGCCCTCTGCGGAGCATCTGCGGTCTCAATTCCTGGAAATGTCATCCATTTGGCTCAAATAAACTCATAACAATTCGCAACGGGTTTGAACATTCTCATCTCAATGAGCGTAAGGAAAGACTTTAAACGACTGTTTTCCTGCACAACATAGCGCCTCCTGGGTGACAGACACCATTTCAAGTCACATCAACACAACGCCCGTCTTCTAGCTGCCTGGCTCTGTTAGGACCGGTGGAAGCAGCGAGTATTACAGAGCAACCTTGGTCTCGAGTTTACACATTTGTAGAGAAACTAAGGCACTTATGCTGCAAAGCAACACGAGAACGAGAAAGGAACGTAAACTATAAACACGCGAGCCCTGACATTGGCAAAGATGACACAGACGTGACGGCTGTGACGGCTTCTGAACAGCTGGCCCGTTCCCGGCACTGCGGGGGTGACGGCACCGGCGGGGAGCCGTGGCCGCTCCGAGACTCACCAAGGGGCTGGCCGGCGATGACCCTGGCGTTCTCCCCGGCCACGGCCGCTCGCGCGTGCCGCTCGCTCATGTACTGCACGAACGCGTAGCCCTTGTGCACCGAGCACCCCACGATCTTTCCATACTTCGAGAAAATGGCTTCGATATCGACTTTCTTGACGATGGCTGTGTTCAGGTTGCCGATGAAGACACGGGAGTTGATGGACTTGGGGTCATTCTTATTAGTCACGTTGCTGGTCTGTGTTTTGCCGGTCATGGTTGGGTCACCGTTTTGTTAATCCTGAAACAAACAAACAAACAAAACAAATAATCAAAAGGTAAATAATCAGACCGCATGGCTACCGCTGGCTTGAAACAGGTTTTCGGTCGTGAGCCAGGTAACCTCAAAGGCCCAAGCGTGAGAAGAAAACTTAGTAAGATTAAAGGTGAGCCTTGCATTGCAGAATGCGGTAGAAAAATACTCATGATCGCTTAGCATATAGTGAAAAATAACTTCCTGATTTATTTATCCAAAATTAGCTCAGCATAACGACTAAACGTTTTGTAGGTGTTTTTATTTGTAAGTCTACCAACTTCTCAGAATCGAGTTTGAGGAATAAACCACCTTATTCTATCAATGACAAGGAAAACCCAACATGGCTTACGTCTGATGATGGGATATAAAAATGTACACTCCATTTATTGTTGAGAACATGCATTTTTATTTCTACATTTTTCTAGAACAGGTAGACATATTGTCTATTTCGTCCTCCGAACCCTCTGATTGGAAACGAACAATTCATTCCGTTAAATGCTGTGGAAGAGGGAAAAAAGGCATTGAAAATCAAATATTCAATCGGAAAACTTAACATAAGAAAAACATGATTCCGAAAATAAATTAACCACAATGAATTCTGTACATTCTCTTTAACAGAACCGTTATTGAATGTCAAGTTTTTTTTAAAAGAGGAGCATGCGTAGCCAGTCTTCATCAATGTTCAGCAAATTAGTGGACTGGGTGTGGGCACTGAAATTTCTCATCTTATCCTTTTAAATTCATTTAACTAAGAACGGCTAGTATTTCCAGAGACCGTTTTCTGAGCTTGGCAGGGTGTTTAACTGTGCTTAATTAAGCTCAGTGCAACTTGTATTTCGAAATACTAGAGCATTTACAGGTTTGCTTTTCAAGGCTTTAAAAATTCATTCATTCGCTCATTCGTTCATTCAACAATATTTATTAAGCACCTATTTTTCGCTGCCTGATTTATCTTCTAAAGTGCCTAATGATGGAAAGAACCCAATATAGCGAAGAACCCAATATACCGAAAGTCCAACGCGGAGTCAGTCTCTGACACCGATGATCGTTTTTGAATATTATTAGCTAACTGATGCATTTCACCAATGGCAAATATATTTTGACATGAAGGTTCTCTTTTACAATCTTACGGCTATAAAAATAAGTGTGTCTAATATTTAAAAATAATTTTAAACGGCATTTCTAAATTGAGCATTAAAATGGTAGAAGTCTCTTATTTTATTTTATTTTGGTGGAAGTCTTAAAGGCACGTAAACTGAATATGCTTGAAAACTCACTCAGTGCGCATTTAATCCAGTGACTTCTGAAATCCGGAGCAACCGAGCAACATAAAAGTCTTTCAATTTAGTTTGTTAATGATTAGTACATCCTGAATTATTAAATTTTTACTAAATATTGAACCCACAACAGTACGTATCTATTGCCTTAGAAGGAAGGTGAATTTCATAGACATTTAGTTATTCACATAAAAATTAAGAGTATGATATCATTAAAAATTTTGCAATTTGAGCTAGTCCAAACCTTGAGACGAATGCTCCAAGGATCGATTGAAACAAGAAAAATCAAGGTGTATATATTTATTTTAAACATTTAGCTTCTTCATATAATCTAGAGCACTTTAATCACACTGATGAGGAAATAAACTGTAAGACTCGTTTTTTGGCTCTGAAATGGATCGACAGTTATTTTCTTACCGCTCTAAGCCAGCATCGGTGCTATAACCCACATAAAGAATACTATTTCCTTTTTGCGCTTACGTGACATTTTTAGAAGCATCGTAGAGTTATTTTCAAGGACAAACGGTTCTTACGTCCGGCCTTATTTCTTGGACAGGGATAACCTGGTCCAAATAAAAACCCGAGAATCGCTGGACGAGGCCGAGCCACACTGCAGGACCCCGTGGCCTGCCCTTGACAGTGGCCCTGCGTCGCGTCTCACACGAGGGCACGGCCGCGTTCTGTCCCCCACGCTCTCTGCGGACCCCCGTGTCGCTCCGGACCGCGGGCGCACAAGGCCACCTCACATGTCTACACAGCCCCTTTTCTCACCCGCAGAAGAACTGGCTGACCTCTATCCGTGTTCGCAACGGTAGAAGTTTGGCCGCGGTGTGTACGTGGCCATTTCGACACCTTGCAAAATGAAGCCTCGACTCCCAGTGCGAGGTTTAGCGTGTGCTTCTCTGTGATGTGACTCTTCAATCTCTTAAAGAGGGATGTCCACTTCCGGCCACGATGGAGTTAATAACAGGGGTTAAATGAACTCTCCTGATGCAAACGACTACAACGCGGGCTAATGCAGACGGAACAACTGTTCTGCAGACGTTAAACCTCCACGGGCAGCTCAGAGCCAGGAAAGAAAGGGAGCAAAGAAAACGCATGGCACTTCAGGTCACGGGGCTGGCGTGTGTGTGCGTGCGTGCGTGCGTGTATGTGTTTGCGTGTGTGTGACTGAAAGCTTGCTGTGTTGAGAAGACAGGAGATCAGAGTTTGGGGTGTCTGAGGAGGCAGGGATTTGGGAGCCACGCTTCCAGAGAGAAGAGAGCTCTGCGGGACAGTAACCAGAAATTGTCTCGGGGGCCCCCCGATGCTGCGGCGGTTCCTAGGATATGCGTGTGAGGAGTGACCTTCTCTGAGGTCATGAAAGCCACTGAGAGCTGTGAGCCGAATGGTTCCCGACCCGCAGACGGCTGGGATTCTCTCGCGTTCCCATCAGCAGCATAAAGAGCCCACATTGGCTCCTGGGAGCATAAAGCTGACAGGGCAGAAGGACCGGCCTCAGCAAAGAGACAGGCAGTCCCTGCGGGAAAGGCACTCTGGTCCACCCTAAGCGAACTCAAGGACACGTCTCAAGATGATCCAGCTACACCGAGAGCAACTGGATCGTCTATCAAGACACAGCACAAGACTTCTTAAAAAATAATAGAACTTAGACACTCGACAACGTGAAGTATAAAATACTTAGCATCCAATCCAAACCTCCTAGGGGTCCCAAGAATCAAAAATATGACCCCGAACCAGGAGAGAAATTAAAAACATGAAAAGAATCACCTGAAACATCTAAAGATGGAAACTCTATTATCGAAAATAAAAAACGAACACACTTGATGGGTATTATAAGTGAGGAGACTGCAGAAGAACAAATTCGTGAGTTCAGCAGAGCCCCGGTACCCTAAAGGTCAAACATCAGGACATTTAACATGCGCGTATATGGAGTCCCAGAGCAGCAAAAGTATTGAAGGAAATAATGGCCCCAAATCTTCCAAATCTGATGAAAATTCTGATCTCACAGATCCAAGGATCTCACTGAACCCCGATCGGAATATGCGTAGAGAAAAGCACATCATAAAGCACCCAGACACATCATAAAGAAACTGCCAAAAACCGGTGATGGAGAGGGAGGCCCGCGAGCTCACAGACATTTGAAAAATGCCTGCATTCTAAGAAAAAAAGGAAAACCACGGTTCAGGTGACGTTACCACTAAAAAACAAATGACAAGATGGAAGGGGACTTTTTGGTAAAAATGCAACTAAACCTAGAACTTGTCTGTTTCCAAACTAGAAGTGTCCGAGCGGAGCTAGTGTGACCTGTCTGCGAAAGCTGCCATATAACAAAAGACAAACTGTGAGCCACAGCTGCTCCGTAGAAATTTCTGTAACGATGGCAGGATTCTATATCTGCCCCATCCAAAAGGGAAGTCAATAACCCAGGTCACTTTGAGGCCTTGAAATGTGGCTAGTGTGGTTGAAGTATTGAATTTTTAATTTTACTTGATTAAAACGAAGGCATCATTTCACGGGGTTTTTCTACCCCCAAAATGCTAACGGGTCCCTGGTCCTTTAAAACTACAGGATAAATGTAAATCTGAAATAATGTAGCTATTTATATACATTTTTGGTCCCCAAAACTTACAAGAGATATGATCGTATTGGATATATTTCAGAAGAATAACAAACAGAAATTTCAAGTAGCTGCCATATGAGAATGAATTTACGAGTAGGGTTTTTCATTCTGGAAATATCAGACTGAAATGATGAATGCTCTGTAAAATCAAAAAGAATGTGTCTAGAATAAATATAGCCTTTTTCTTTGTGTTCGAGGGAGATTTCCACCCCTGAATCTAAAAGGGACACATAAATTATAAATTAAAGGCAACGTTAAAATGTGCCCTAGAGAAAACAGTTTTGGAGCAGACAAAATTAACGGGGTGGGAGAGTGTACCCTTCTGATGTCGGTGGGTCTGAGTTTCCAATCTAAATTTTAGATTCGCTGAGACACACGCTGAATAAAGAATATGTAACCAAAGCAATAACGACAATGAGAAATACGTAGTCAAGAAAGCTGAGCGGCAATAGCAACACACACCACATTCGAGAATCCGATGAAATATTAAAGGGATAAAAATGAGTAAGGAAGAAAAAACGGTACCCGAACAGACAGCATCTCCTGAGGGACAGCTGGGACTCAAACAAATGCTATAACACGAAGTTAAACCTGGCAAATGCTGTTAAGATGCACAGCACTGTGATTTCTGAGAGAGCGAGCACATCCAGATAAAAGTTCCTGAAGCAGACGATATTTGGATTAATCATTAAAGGATGCTGTAAGGATCCAGCGGGTATACATCACTGCTCGGCAGAAGACGGCTGTCGTCCTAACATTGTTAACTCATCTACACGTGCTTGAATAATTATTTTCGTTAAGCAGGTTGGTGTAAACATAGATTTACAATTAGAAAATAGGGAGAAACTGACCTGAAAGGTACTAATGTATTTAGGCATCTCTCCTTGGACAAACTAAACCAAAAGAATCTCAAAAAAGCTTGAATTTATTCTTCAGAAAATCACCTACAATTTAGAAAGGTATAACTTACACCGAACGGGGCTGTGAGAATTCTTCAGTAGATCTTAAGCATCATCTACACTATTTTCTGAAAAAAACAAAACAAAACAAAAACTTCTGATGTTCAT